GAAATCGCACCAGCGCACGGACCCGGGGAGCAAGGACCCGCCACTGTCACGCTGGCGTCTGCGCAGACAGCACATGTATCTTCAAAGCAGCAGGCGTGCTGCTAACGGGAACCCACAGAAAGAGCGCTGGGAGCCGCCCCTCGGCGTCACCAGGGTGTGCGCTGGCTCGCTTGTTTCGGAGGTGCAGATACTCACTAAGTTGTGCAAGAGTTCCCAGCGGAGTTAGGGGAGAATGCCACCTTCCGGGCTGCTTTTGCTTCTGGGAGTAAACCCTGCAGTTCTCTCTCAAATGAGCACACACATTTCCAGTTCTCGTGTTTCCGTAATCGTAAAACAGTTTAACAAATAATGAGAATTACGGTGTTAGGAGAACTTAAACATCTGTCTGTTTTTAAATTTATTAGGCTAAGGAAAAATCATCCAGCTGTCTTTGCCTGCCTACGGTGGGGAATGCAGAATATTCTAGGTGACACCCCAAGTCATGCAGAGCTGTGGGAAGGACCAGGACGAAGTAAAACGGCAACTGCAGCTCCGGACGTTGCAGTCCTGTGCTCAGTGAGGGCCTGGAGAGGGATCTGGCTACTGCGAAAGAAGCAGGAGATTGCTTTTATATCTGTCTGCTGAGCTCAGCAGGGCCGTCAGTGCAGGACAAAGCGCATCCCCTCTGCTGCGGGCGGCTCTCTGTGCTGTCCATTCCGGGGACGCGGCCCCGTCCCACCTGCTGTGGCAGCGTTGATGGAAGGTGTGGAGCACTAGCTGCATGGAGCGTTTGGTAGGTCTATAAAATATGGATATACGGGGACACACACACACACACACACACACACACACATCATCATCATCATCATCATCCAAAACAAGACAGTCTTAACACTCCCCTCAACACGAAAATTCAAAGCGTGACATTTGTGGAATTTCCAAGTAAAGAAATAATATATCCCCAGGTGCTGAGATTTCCACGCTCACTGAGACGTCTGACTGCGTGCTTGTGTTTCTCTTCTCCTCTCTTCTGAAACCTCTAGCAGAAAAGCCTGCTGGAGGCTTCTGACTGAGGGTACTGAAGCGATTTTCCCCCTGGACCCTCGGCTTCTCTCGCCCTCCCTGGAGCCGGAGCGCTGGCACTCGGGGTGCACCCTGCGCCAGCCTCGTGAAATCTGTCCCTCGAAGGGCAGAGGGGAAGGGGCTGCATCGGCTTCCGCCCGCAGAGTGGTTCTTCTCTCCTGCATGACCATGGAGCGTTGGTTTTCTTTCTTATTTTCATTTTTCAATCATGGGAGCGTGTGTAGGAGAGAGAGCTGGGGCTGGAGGGTCAGAGGGGCTGGACTTCCCTCCTGCGTGCGTCACCCTGACGGAGGCTCTGGGGATGGAGGCGTGCACTGCCGCAGTGTCTAGGTGTGTCACGGAGGGGTGGCTGCGGGGTCTGTGTTCGGTCCCACGCCGCTCTGCTTCCTAGCCGCCATGAACTGAGCAGCTTTGCTCCCCACACCCTTCCACCACGACCCCCCTGCCTCGGAGCGGCTGACCCTGGACTGAACCCCCCTAACCGTGAGCCTCCTTTAATTATGGGTGCTGCGTATTGTGTCCAGAAGGGAAAGCTGGCCTGGAGAGAGGGAAGCCCCTGTTTGGGCATTAGTTGGTGGCCTGTGACTTCTATTCCAGAGCGACTTGGTTAACTAGATCCTTTTCTCTAAGGCCTGTTTCTTCTGTGTGGATGCTGTGAAGAGTGGAGGCTGGCGGAAAAAAGACCTCACCTCCTTAGTGAGGAGCAGGAGAGGGACACCCTAACGGTACAGAACAGCATCACCACCACAGGATCTGTCCCTTTGCCCTTCTGAAGCCACACTTGCAGGGTGTGGTGGTGCACGACTGTTATTCCAGCACTCAGGAGGCTGAGGCAGGAGGATCACCATGAGTTCAAGACCAGTCTGAACTGCATAGCGAGACTCTGTCTAACATAAATTAAAAAAAAAAATAATAAAGCTGTACCTACTTTCCCTCCCCTGGCAGCCATGGTGTCTTATGTGGCTGTAATTTTATTCTTTTGGGACTGTTACATGAACAGAATCATGCAATGTGCAATGTTCAGGGGCTGACAGTCTCACAGATTCTTGGAGATTGCTGCATGTGTCAGTAGCCACTTACTTTTCATTGCACAGTAGTATTCCATAGTAGGAATGTATCACCTCTTGTTTGTCCATTGCTCTGGTTTGTCTGCTTCAAAGTTCATGTTGGAAGCTGGGCATAGTGGCAACACCTTAAATCCCAGCGCTGTGGGTGGCTGAGGCGGAAGGACCACAAGTTCTAGCCCAGCGTGGGTAGCTTAGTGAGTTAGTGAAAACCTGTCTCAAAATTAAATATAAAAAAGGGCTGGGAGGTTGCTCAGTGTGGGCAGGGGCTGAGCAAGGCTGGCCCAGAGAACGCAGAGCGCCAGGGCTGAGCCATGTGAACCAGCGGCGGGGACTGGGCAAGGCCAGCCCAGCAGGCATCCGGCCTTGGTGTCCTGCCTGCTGACTTCAGCATGGATAGCTCTGCGGAAGTTTTGCTTCTGTGTGCTGGGATTACAGGCGTAAGCCACCACGCCCGGCCACCCTCCTAGATGGGTTGATTGATTTTTAAAATTTTGAGACAGAGCCTCACTAAGTCACTCAGGCTGGCCTTAAACTTGTGATCCTTCTGCCTCAGCCTCCTGAGTACTGGGATTATAGGTATGCACCATTGCACCTGGCTTCGCTTAATTTTTATAAAAGCTGTGAGGTTTAGGTTGAGCACTCTCCCCACTCCTCCTTCTCTCTCTCCCTCCCCTTCTTTGGAGTGTGTCAGCATCAGCTGAAAAATCTATCTTTCCTCCACTGAATAGCTCTTGTCGGCAAAACCAGCCAGCACCTTCCCGTGGGTGTGTTTCTGGGTTCTTCATTCTATTGCTCTGGAGCGCATGTCTGTCCGTCTGGACACCAGGCTGTCTCGATAACCTGTAGCTTTAGCACAGGTTGTAATATCGGAAGGGTGACTCCTCCCTCTATTTCTGCGCATACACAGCCCTTCTCTCCTCCACCCCCGGAAGGCAAGTCAAATACACACGGTCCTGTGCTTGGTCGTAGCTCTGTGTGTATTTTCTGGAAACAGGAATACTTCCTGACGTAGCTGCAGTGTAGTTATCAACTTCAACTAATTTTCATGAAAAAATACTTATATTCTACCTTCCATATTTAATTTTCTTTTTTTTTCTTTTGCAAAATCCACCCAGCAACGTCCTTTGGAGCAAAGATTCCAACCGAGGTCCAGGCTAGGCTCAGGCGCTGCTTTTAGTTCCTGGATCTCTCTAGTCCCTCCTTGGGGCTAGAACACGTTTGCAGCCTTTGTCTTTCCCGACAGGGACACTTGTGTGCGACATAGCATTCCCTATTCTTTTATGGGTCCAGTCCTTAAAGTAGGTGTGGTGGTGCACAGGAGGCTGAGGCAGGAGGGTCACTATAAGTTCAAGGCCACCCTGGTTACAGCACCTGGCTGTGCTGCCTGACTGTGCACATGTTACTCAAAATGCACGTGGTAAAAGGTCAAATTTAGAAGGTTTATTACAGTAGCAGACGCACCGCCACAAATCCCTCTCAGATCCTCCCCAACTACCAACACACTCGTCCCAGCATCCTGGCCACTGTCTGCGGCAGCTCTGGAGTGCTCTCTCCTGAGGGTCTTTATGAGGCGTGATCAAAAACACAGCCAGCAGAAAGGCAGCTCCTAAAAACACGATGCTGTGTCCTCATCCACCTTATTCACAGGATCCGGCACCGTGAGACTTCCGGCTCCTCCCCAAAGTCAGAATGAGCAGGAGAGGGAAACGTTTTGAATGGATTCAGGACGCTGAGGCAGCCGGGACAGTGCAGCTAAAGACCCTCAGGAGAGAGGACGCCAGAGCTGCTGCAGGACGTTGCCGGGAGGGTGGGACAAGTGTGTGCGGAGTGAGAGGGAGAAAATGCTGTGAGTAGTTGTTCATCGAGGGGTGACTGAAACTTCCAGTGACTGCCTAAATAAAAATATTCATTATAGGGCCAGGCATGGTGGCACAGGCCTGCAATCCTAGCACTTGGGGAGGCTGAGGCAGGAGGATTCCTTCGAGCTCAAGGCCAGCCTTGCAAGTGAGATCCTATCTCACAAAACACTTTTTATTACAGTAAAACATGCGTTGGTTACAAACACCCATCCTTAGCACCAGGGCCTCGGCTCCAATCGGACACCCAAGGGAGGCTCCCAGCCCTGCAGTGACGGCCGCACCCTGAAGACTGTGAGCCTCTGACTGTGGGACTGGCCCGGTGACCTACACGCATTGCCAGATCCCGCCTGGGCCCAAATCGTCCAGACGAAAGGAGGGTGCGGATGCCCTCAAGTCCCTCTCTGCGCTGCTGGGAGCTCTCAGTGACACGGAGGGTCCTGGCTCTGCTGCCTTTTGGCTTCCTGCCCAGCAAGTGAGCCGTTCTGGAGCCTAGCGAGGGTTCACAGTCCGAGCTGCTTCCTGTGCGCTGCCGCGCTGTCAGCGGTGCGTGCTACTTATTTACTTTACTCTTTTAAAAATCATTTATTTAGAGACAGGGTCTCACTATGCAGTCCAAGTGGCCCTGAACTCGCTTATGGAGCCCAGGCTGGCCTGAAACTCATGGCGATCCTCCTGTCTCAGCCTCTCGAGTGCCGGGGTGACAGGCGTGCGCCACCACGCCCGGCCTTTTATTTTTATTCTTGCAATAATCTGTAGTTTACACACGAGAAAACCAGAAGCAGAGAGTCTGAGGAGCACAGCTAGTGCAGGTCCTGGCTGCTCGGGGCTTGTTTCCTTCCCGTCGCAGTCCGGCCGGAGGACCAGTGGCTGGTTGGTTGCAGGGGCGCATGGGGGGCCCTTGGTTTTCCTCTTCACTGATGGAGAAGTACAGTGTTGCAGAAGCCTGGGGAATAGACCCCCCCCCCCAGCTCTATTCAGAGTCAGCTGCAGCCTGCGCTCCACCCCGCCCCTGGCTGGGGCTTTCACCCTTTCAGTTTTGTTTGGCCAGGACAATGCGAAGCCTTCTTCCCCGGGCGGCCACCGCCTCTTTGTTGTCCCTGACCCAAGTCCCCGCCTCTGCGCTCAGGACGGCCTTGTCTGCCAGTGTGACTCACCGCCCCGTGACTCAGGGTGGCATTGAGGGGGCCGAGGGCCGCACGGAGTGGGTGACTTCGGGGCCAGCGAGCTGCTCATGCCTCCTCGGGCCAGGACCAAGACGGCACTGGGCCCAGTGGTGGCAGCGACTCCTCGGCACCTCGTGTGGAAAGCAAGGCTGCGTCCGCCCGTCCCTGTCCCCGGTAAGCGTTGGCCCTGGGCTGGAAGTGCGGTGGCCCAGACTTCTGAGAACTCCCAGTCCTGCGTGGAGTGGCCGGAGAGTCAGGGGCTCTGTGGCACGCTGCGGCAGGAGCCAGGCGTCAGGTGCAGACTTGTAACCCCAGCAGGACTCAGGAGGCTGAGCCAGGAGGATTGCCTTGGATTCAAGGCCAGTCTGGGCTACAGAGTGAGACCCTGTCTCAGGAAACAAAAACTAAACAAAACAAACAAACATGCACATATACACACAGTGTAGCAGGGCACAAGACAGGCTTTCTTATTTGATGATCCTTTCACCTTTAAACTTCTTTTTAAAAACAGATCAAGTAAAGATGGGTGGAGAGGCGCGCTCCGAGTATCCCCAGAGTGGACACGGGCTTCGGACTCACTGTGTGACTCTCATTCTTGCATGCTTGAAGCTTTTCATAGTAAATAATGAGTAAAGGACAGGCAGTCCTGAAAATGACTATGCTTTCTAAAACCCCACAATTATTTCTTTCGAAATAAAAACAGATGCCCGGCTCTACTTCCTTCTTCGCTGCCTCCAGTGTGGGTTCCCACACCCGGCCTGGGGCAGCTTGGTAATTAGTGGGGGCCCAGCGGGTCAGCAGCTCCTCCCCCGGCGTCCCCCCGCATCTCTGCTTCTCCCCAGAACCCCAGAGCCGGTTATTATTCCCACTAACTAGGGACCTGGGCTCCAGGCTGCGCGTGGCCGGGTCACAGGGGCCTCACTGACGCGATGCGCTGTCCAGCCCTGGGGGCAGCGCTCCGACCTGTGGACTCCGAGGTCTCAACCCCTGCAGCCCCACCCCGCGCCCTCGTTACCCTCAGCCCGCGAAGGGACGCAGCCCTGGCCTGAGTGGAGTCACCGCCCCCAGGCAGACCTGGGAGGCAGAGGGCAGCACCGCGTCGCTTCCCCGCACGAGGACGCTTCCGAAAGCCTGTGTGCGCCTCTCCCCTCCTCGCGCCCCAAAGCGCTCCCGCTGGGCACACCCTGGCTGGAGTCAGGGTGCCCCTGTCTCTGGCGCGATGTGTCTGCGGCCAGCGACTGTGCTGAAGGGGGTGCGTCCACGGCTCCTGCCATGTCAGGAGCACCGAGATAACCTGCGGGAGGGCTGTGGGCTCACGATTGCGGGGCTCCAGCTGCACCCCTCCCCCAGCACGGGGCGGGACAGGCTTTACGCGGGGCCTTCGCAGCCGGAGCGGAGCCGCACACGCGCCTCGTGGGCCTCAGCCGCCCAAGGGGAGCAGAGGGGAGAACTGTCTGCCGCGCGGCCGAGCACCGGGGTCAGACGCGCCTCGGCCTCGGGTAGTTCTCACAGGGCAGCAGCTAGCGGTCGCCTGGGGACCCGGGGGCCGCGGAAGCTGTCACCGCAGGCTCAGTGGGCCGGCGCCCTAAAGAGCGGGGGACACGGCGCCGGGTCCTCTCCCTGACGCAGCAGTGGGTAACTGCGCCCCGCGTTTATAGCGCCTCATCTGCCAAACGCGCACCTGCTCCGCTTTGATCTCAGACAGCCCCGTCCTGCAGACGTGGAAATTGACAGCAGAGTGGCTGAGTCCCGCCCTAACCTCTGGGTCAGGAGCTGGGGCGAGGGGCGGGGAGGGAGAGCTCTCCAACCCTCCTATCTTGACTGCCAGGCTTGCAGATTCTCCAGGCCAGTTTCTGGGGATGAGAGCTACAGCTAGTGTTTCTTTTCTCCCAGGTTAGATTTAGTTAGGTCAGTTAATCTCGTGGGTATCAGTTTGCCAGGCTGTATAATGGGCACAGACACCAGCCATCCATGAGGGCACCGGTGTCAATCACAATCTCTGAATGAAGGAAGAGACCTTCGGGGGCCCTGGCCCATCTGCCCTAGGTGAAGCGCGCCTTCGCCTGGCCACTATCTAAACCAGGCGCTCCGTCACCCAGTACCACGCTGTGTGCGTCCTCGGTCTGCGTCTACCCGTGGCCTCTCGGGATCGGCCCAGGTAGCGGGCCGGGGGCTCGGTCTCTCCGGTCCTGAGAGGCCCTAGCAGGTGGAACGGGCCGGCAGGGACAGCCCTGTGCGGGGCGAGAGAGGAAGCGGGGTGAAGGGAGGAGCGCAGCTGCGTGAAGACACCCAGCGCGCTCGGGCGACGACCGGGAGTTTTGGGGGACCCCGCCCCCGGGTCTGGCTTCCTCCTGCCTGTCCCCGCAGGGCCCCCAGGGACCCGCAGCCCGAGGCTCCCGCGCCGGGGTCGGGTTACAGGGCGGGGCGGGCAGCCCGAGCGCAGCGCCTGACCCGGACCGGTCCGCTGCGCGCTGGAAGCCCGGG